TTACAGCTTCCGACGACCGAGTCCCCATCTAAAACAACATATCAATCTTTTGGACTTATATTGTTGCCTTCCCAGCTGATAATTAAACGTAATCGTTGCTCTCCCAAAGGCATTTTATGGACCCTTGTAAATGTATTCAAAAAGTATGCACTCTTTTCAAGTATTTAAAAACAAGTACTCAAGTATTTGAATCTGATAAACCTTAGGCTTCTTCTGTATTTCGTAAGTATCATAGTTTAAGATTTGAATACATATTTTTCAGAGTTTGTGTATTTGTTGAGGACGACTAACATTTCGAAAGCAGCCAAGCTCATCCAAATGCCCTCTTTTTGCATGTAGACATGGAAGATAATTCAGAAGAACACCTATTTCAATTGCTATTCCCTGGCGCACATTATAACTTGAGCACAGCATCTTCGTTTGGACGCTCCCACTCTCGTCGCGTGAATCCTCGTTTCTGCGTGTTTAGAAGTGTCGACAGCGAAACTGCGTACTATGGTGATGAAGAGATTCCCGTAGTAAAGCCAGGAGACTCAAATCAACGTCTAACAAGGTCTAAGACAGCATGGTTTGACAACAGTGTAGACAATTTTTTAAAACCATCCACTATACCTATCGTTACTGTGGAGGACGAATCTCAGGAAGACGATTACATTCTTTTGACTGCATATCAGCCAAGAATTAAGGTTGCTCTACTCCAGACCCAAGACTTATTTCGAAACGCAGGTTTTCAAAATAGGAAGAGACCAATGCTATCTCATGAGCTGAAATTCTTTTCTAGAAAAGGCGCCATCATTCCAGAATCACCAGTGGAAACTGATTCTCCTGACGATCCTGGTGTGCCAACGTTTTCGTTCACTTCGCCATCTTTTAACGATGCCGATGACTCAAGCTACGACAACGACAAATCATTCGATGCATCCGAGAGACTTTCCGTAAAAAGCGTAGAGTGTAGAAGACAACTAATTTTCTCTGAAACTCCCTCTACACGCAGAAGCACATTTGCTTCGAAGAAATCTACAACTCTGGCTGTCTCACCGAGTTTCACCTGCGACAACTCACTTCGACGCAAGTCAGTCTATGTCCGCGAAACTCTGAGTATGTCTGCTAAAGTTCCACGAAAATTGTCAAGAATGTTTTCCGGATTTGGGGATGATACTCTATCGAGAAAAATGCGACTTACTGTGCCACAAATGGGATGTGAAGAATTTAACAGGATTACCCGAAAATATTCGAGGGAGTTAGTTAAGAACGTTCTATTTGTGCCTCGTGGCGCGATAAGGATCGTGCGGTTATCGAATGAGCGATTTTTCGACGTTGACAATATTGCTGAATTACTTCGCACCTCTTTGTCTTATGCTCAGAAGAAATGAGAACATAGTACGATTTTCATATTCAATCTACTCTGCTGACATAAAGCGTTTTCGGAAATTAAGCTAAAGCAGGTTTTGGATACTATCTTATAATAGCTTCTGTTGCTGCAGAATGAAATAATAGTCATCTGCTTCAAAGGTTCTTGAAGTGTTACTGTTTGTGTGGATTATTTCAGCTAAGTAAAAATGTGAAATCAATCCTTTTCTTTCTCATTCAAGGTTCTAGGCCAACGAGAGCTCACTCTCTGAGATGCAATAAGAAACAAATTCTTTCAATCTAGTGAACTTCTCGACAGACAGTATGAATCTTGATTTTAATTACAATTTTAATTAGAATTTTTACATCATATTCTCAAGATTTACTTTTTTTTTCCTGAGCTCATCTAAAGTAGAGGGAACTTATCAATATTGTATACTAATTGTATTTTTGACAAGGCCGTTTTGTATTCTTGCGCAGTGTATACTTTCTTCACACTTCCAGAGTACTATTTAACGTTCATTACTATGATGACTCATGCAATAAGAGAGCTTTTATCATTCAAGATTCTCACAGATCTATGCGCTTAGCAAACTTCAAGAAAATTCTTGATAGACTTTGAAATTATCAAAATGGTTTAAAAAAATTTTCTTATTTTTGTCAAGCTTGTTCATAATTTTTTTTTTTCATATCGCTGTAATATCGGCAAGTATATGACAGTGAAGAGATAATTACACCAACAAATGTATGAAGAAAAATTTGCGAGGGAGAAAGAAAGAATATAACACTTGTAGGAAGAGGTACAAACAACAAGACTCTTCAGTGAGAATTAACGTGCTGAGGAAAAGAGCGCATGAAGCTCTCTCGACTATGTTAGTTTCTTATTATTCGGATATCGTCAGTAATGAGTTTAATAAGTTTTTGAGCACATAATTTAAATAATATATATTTAGTTAATCTAACTGCACAGATAATGTAAAAGCGCTGTAGATAACCAATAGAATTTGATTAAGGTTACTTCAATATATTCAAATGTTACATCCATTTACTTCGCTGGCATCTTTATGTGAGAATAAAACCGTTCGTCATTACTATAAACTTACCTTAAGAAATTCGAAATCTGCATACCGAAAAACTTCATCACACAATTTTAGGCGACATTGAGAACATAGCCGACCACAGTGCGCTTACCATACCCCTATAGTAAGACGCCACCAAACAGTTGAGTTGTGTTATTTGGATTTAGCATTTCTTTTCATATAGGCTTCATGTTAGAGAAGCTAAAGTAGTTTTGAGGATGTTCTCGTGGTTCTCTGTTTAAATTGAGTTGAGTATTGCAAAGCAAATAAAAGACTAATAACAAGACTTCTGCTAAAAAGGATGAGGATACCACG